GTCAGTGGTGGGAAGTAATGGTGGTACCTCAAAGAGATGTCTAATGTATGCATTACAGTTACTTCTTTCCAGTGACTGCGTAAGAAACCAAAGTATGGAAGCCCTAAACAATAAAGGACTAGAAAGATCCAACTTCATATGCAGTAAGAGTCATCTAAAATGCCGTATGTGATAATGTGAGAAGATATGGCCCGAAGGATTTAGGAAAGCTTAGAAAACAACATTAAGAATTAATATGTTCAAGAGTGAAATTCCAGCTCTTGTCTACACCTAAGTGTAGGTAAAATAAGGTACATGAGTAACCTCTGCATTTCACCAGTCCCATTTTTCTGTTGGAGGCCTGTCTGATCCTGTTACAAACTCAAGAAGTAGGGCTGGCCCCAACTGGACAAAACTGGTTTCCATCTGGAAGTGTCAGCACATTAAAATCAGAGCTTTACTCTGAGAAGATTCTACTGTCAGTGAAACCAGAGTTGTTCATAGGCATAAGATAAAGCTCAGAGCAAAACGCAAAGATCATCAAAGGACTTCCTGCCCTTAGGGAAGACACATGCTCCTATTCTACTCAGACCTTGGCAGCATGGCTTGGTGCCCAAACCACTGGCTTACAGGATACTCCTGTGGAGCCCCTACACTCTTCATAAATCACTGCACATTCACTGGAATAGGAACATTTTCCATAAGGCACCAGTTGGCAACTGGTTGCTAGTGGTGTCCCCCAGGGATCAGTGTTGGGCCCAGTTCTGTTTAATATCTTTATTGATGATTTAGATTAAGGGATTGAGTCCACCATTAGCAAATTTGCAGATGACACTTAGTTGGGGGGAAGTGTTGATCAGCTGGAAGGCAGGAGGGCTCTTCAGAGGGACCTGGACAGACTGGAGAGTTGGGCTGATTCCAACGGGATGAGGTTCAACAAGGCCAAGTGCTGGATCCTGCACTTTGCCCACAAAAACCCCCTGCAGCGCTACAGGCTGGGCACAGAGTGGCTGGAGAGCAGCCAGGCAGAAAAGGACCTGGGAGTTTGGATTGACAGGAAGCTGAACATGAGCCAGCAGTGTGCCCAGGTGGCCAAGAGGGCCAATGGCATCCTGGCCTGGATCAGGAACAGTGTGGTCAGCAGGACCAGGGAAGTGATTCTTCCCCTGTACTCAGCGCTGGTGAGGCCACACCTGGAGTACTGTGTCCAGTTCTGGGCGCCTCAGCTCAGGAAGGATATTGAGGTGCTGGAGCAGGTCCAGAGAAGAGCAACAAGGCTGGTGAAGGGACTGGAGCACAAGTTCTGTGAGGAGAGGCTGAGGGAGCTGGAGAAGAGGAGGCTCAGGGGAGACCTCATCACTCTCTACAACTCCCTGACAGGAGGTTGTAGCCAGGTGGGGGTTGGTCTCTTCTCCCAGGGAGCTATCAGTAAGACAAGAGGGCATGGTCTTAAGCTCTGCCAGGGGAGGTTTAGGTTGGATATTAGGAAGAAATTATTTACAGGGAGGGTAATCAGTCATTGGAATGGGCTGGCCAGGGAAGTGGTAGATTCTCTGTCCCTGCAGGTTTTTAAGATGAGTCTGGATGTGGCACTTAGTGCCATGGTCTAGTAACCATGGTGGTGTTGGATCAAGGGTTGGACTTGATGATCTCAGAGGTCTTTTCCAACCCAGCTGATTCTATGATTCTATGATTAACAGCTTCTCTCAAGGGAAGGATAAGAGCTAAAGGAGATATGTGAAGGATGAAAGAGCTAAGAAAATCAAGCTCTCTATCCAGACTTTTGTTAAGTCCCTCAGCAGCAAACAAGCCATCTTTTAGCCCTTAGCTGAAACTAGCTTATGTTTTGCTATGCTTTAACAATTCCAAGACATCTCCTGTCCCTTGATACAATATCAAAAATTTGCACTCCAAACAGCAATTGCTGTAATAATAACAATACTTACATTTCATTATTTAACCTCATGCTATTCATTCATGAGGATTAGTGCTTAATTAATTAACAACACTTAGCATTTCCACTCAGCACTTTACCTCTTCAAAGCATCATACCAACACTACCTAATTAAGGGCAGAGCTCCACAGACACTTCACATCAGGACTTCTCTTTGACAGCTCTGCATCCAAGAGTTGCCCACATCGTGTAGCATGAATTCAAGTTGAAAGCCCTACTAACTTCATCAGGAACCAGGTAATGCCCTAGTTATCAAGAGACTATCTTTGCAATTTCCTTTTCTTTTCCTATTGCTTCTGGTTGCTTGCTATTCACCCAGGGATCTAATTATTGGCTAATGGATGATAATGTGAACCTTGTATTAGTGTTATCTACAAAACTCTCATTCTTCTGTTAGTGCAAACCTTATTCTCAGTCACCTGGTTGAACTGCCTTTGGATAGAAAATGTGTTAACCACAAAAACAGATTATAAAATGACAAGCAAGAGTTTTTAAGGGAGATGGTGCTTTCAATCCATCAGTCAAATGCCTGCTATGAAAGCGCCTTTCTTGTAAGCACCCCAGGATGCTACACAACATCAATAGACAATATAAACACAAAGCTTTTATGGTTCACTTTACAATTGGACATTGACTCTGAACCTGTGAAACAGAAAGGAATTGAATTTCATGACCAAAGAATATAATGTGCACAGGATTAAGTAGACAACACTGGTAGAAGCAGGAAAGCAATACGGCATTGGATGCTGACAGGGAGATGAAATTTACAGATAAGAAACCAAAAGAATAAAACAATTCTGAGTAAAATCTTATAAGACACTCAATACTTCATAACACTATTTTTTATAATCCACTGGTTTTTTTTCCAGAGAATCAAAAATGCTGATGGATTTGTTCAGAGCCCACTGATTGACTGGGCCTTGATTATGAGAACTGAACAAAGAAAGCCTTAAATATGTAGTAGCTCCAGCCAAGGGAATTATACAGAAGTAAACTTCTGATGCAGTCAAATGGGAAGAAAAAGAAAACATTCATCCAGTTCAAGAACTTGTTTAGTGTCTCAGAGGATGTCTTCACAGGGCAGTGGCTGGCAGGGCGGCAGCCTGGGGCTGCTGCTGATCAAACCTGCTCCAGAGGAAAGCAAGAAATCCAATACAGCAATGTGGCTTCCAGCTCTGAGGAGTGCTGTGGTGTGTCACATGCACATCACAGCTCACATCAGCTTCGTCAAATAGCTTTCTCAGGAAGCCCTTCTTGCCAGATGAGCCACAGCCTGATAGATATCAGAAATTGAAATGGTTTGGTTCTTTGAAAACTGATTGTCTTGAACAGAATCAGACCCAACCATTTTGACACTGAAGTATTCCACAAGAATAACTGTGTATTACTATCTGCAGTGTCTTTGTGCCCAAAATAAGCTGTGTTAGTGTTACTGCTAAATTCTAAAATCCCAAGAGTTTAAAATAAAAAAACAGGCTTTACTATCGCTTAATAGAATTTCATTTAAGCTGCAGATGGATGAGGCCCTTATTGCCATATTCACCCTTAAGCCAAGGGTCAGATACTCATCCTAGACTTTGTTTGGAATTCAATACCTGCCTTTCATCTTCCCCCACTCCCCACAATTCTTCTCCCCTCACTCAGCTTCAACTGAATACACTCCAGTATTCCCTTGCCACCAGTTACCACTGTCTAGGACTCCCTTGTCTCAGACAAATGGGCTAGCTAGCCCCCAGTGAGCTAACCCCTAAGGTCTCCATCACTTGGTTACCTTGCAGCCCTTTCTACCGTTTACCATGTAGGACCCATTCCAGCCTGCCCTGCTTCTGCATTAAGGCTGGGTCTATTGATGTATATGGTTACATTAGGTAAATCATGCACCTTTCTTATTAGAAGTTTCCTAAAATGTAATGCTCAAATCAGAACCATCTGCTGTGGTTCAGGAAAAGATACCTGTTAATTAGTACGCACATTGGATCAGACCATTAACAAATGCATTGGGAAGCTCATTCAAGTTATTATCTAGGTAACTGTGCTTCTGTTTCCAGCACAAAGCTGTCACATGAGCCCTTCTCATCACTTTTGTATTTACATTTGCTGTGCATCTGTTCTAGCATCTCTAAGCTCTGATGTCTGATGTCTTGGAAGAAAACACACTGAGATACTTCCTGACTGGGGTCAGCTTCTAGTACTGGAACTCTGCTGGGTGTGGCTAAAGATGTGAACCAAACACAGGCATAAAAACAAGTTGGTAAAGACAAAAACCTGGCATTTGGAAGGCAGTTCTCTACTCTGGTGTATGACCAAATTAAATTTAGATTACTTACATAATTAGGATTTTACCTTTCATTCTGCTGTTTTACTCAGCCTATACAATAAACCAAGTTGGTCTATTTAGTCTGCCTCATGGGGTGTTGGGGTTTCCAAGTTTCACAGAACTGCAGAATTTCTGCTGTTCATAGTGCTCTCTCTGTAAGAGGTCGCAGGGAGATGGCCACAGAGTAGTCAGAAACAGATCCATGGTGGTCATGAATGTAAGTTCCAGCATGTATTTCCTCCCAGCTTCCAGTGTCTAATGTCACTGGGACAATTTATACCTTTTGGCTATCACAGCATCCTACAGCCACAAGTGACATTGATTGCACTAAGTCATATATGTGCTTTCCCTGTTGCTTCAGAAGAAAGTGTTCCTGCTGCTGCACCACCACTGTGCATAGTATAAGCCTTGCAATTTAGCCTGCACAGGGAGTGCTGCATGAATTGTTTGATGACTGGGAGTACAAGACATCCTAATCTGCTTGCCTAGTGAAACTGCTCAGCACTAGGGTTAATAATGAAATACAGGCCAGCTGAAGCAACCTTTAAAGAGCTTGGTATGCTCCAGGGCAAATATGATTGAGAGTGACACTAGCTATATATTTTACTAATTTTATCACTACGCCTATTCTAAGCACAGCCTTTCAATTAATTGATTTTTAGGACTTAATATAGACAGTACTGAAATATTTCTGACAACAGCAATTTCACAAGCAGCATTACTCATCCCATCCCAACTCAGATTTCTCACCTTTGTGGTCCACAATTTGACTGTCCAGTCAAATGATGATGTGACAAAGAGATGAGAAAAGTCAATTGGACCCACTGCCATGTGACAATTGATTCCTGTGACGGGCCCTTGGTGGCCTTCAAAAATTTCACCAATGCCAGCTTTACTGCAGGAAGAAGAGACATTTACATGTGGAGAGTCATTTACCACCTGGTGATTTAACATTATTTTTCTTTACTCTTGGGTTCCTGTTTCCTTTTAAAGTACTATTTAACCTGTAAATCTCTCTCCTTTCACTAAGGCTTTTGCCTGCAGAGGGAAAAATTAATGCTCAGAATCCAGCACAGGGAGACTTTCTCATACCTGAAGACTTGCCTTACTCACTTATACTGTCTACTATTGTAGCTTGAAGTAACATTTATGTATAATTATAAAATAATTCCAAACTGTAATTATACTATAGCTTATGTCTCTGAGTAAGCCATTATCACAAGGAATAACCATTAAAATAAAAATGCAAATATGTTAATGACTTATCATGAGCAATTCTTTTTCTTTTAAATATCTAAAATAACTTTTCACAGCAGTCAATCAAGTCACTAGGAAGCAAATGTTTTTTCACAGTAATTGAAGGAATGGGTCCTGTGATCAGGTATCATACAGTTATTACTTTTAACAAGGGGAGAAGTACATTTCATCAGCCTGAGGCTAGAATACCTATTAGGAAGGAAAAATACAACACTGTGTAAGACAGAATGTGCACAGTTTTTTTTCTTCCTGGAAGCAAATGATGCCAGCTCAGTTGTCAGTGCTGTTTCACAGTGTACACAGAAAAGGGAATCATAAAATTACCCTTTTAGTTAGATTATAGAAAAACTGTGAGTGAAAGAAAATACATTAAAAATAGGCACAGCCCTGATGAGGCTGTCAGCCCTGTGCCAGTGTGAGTACCATGTACTAAGAGAGATGTGGAGCTGCACCGGAGGAAATTGGTCCCTACTAGTGCAGTGTCCCCTCATGTCTCTTGTGTGGACAGAGTGATCTCCCTTGAGCTCTTCTGCCAGACCTCGCAGCATATGCTGGAGCAGGGGCCAAGTCCTGCAGTGCCTCTGCAGTGCTGGATACAAAGGACACCTCCTGTTGTATCCCCAACTGTCTGCCATGTAGTCAGTGGGATAAGGGGAGTTCTGGAGCATTGAGAACACCTTGGGTATTTGCTGTGCTTTGACACACCTTTTTCCAGAATAACATATGGCTCTCCACTGTGCTGGGCTGAAGGACACAGGAGCCTCCGGAAATAAAATGGGGATGGTAGCAAAAAGCTCCGGGAAAGGCAGGCAGGAGCAGAAAAACTTTTGTCAATGGTCAGCAGAACGTTTGCTAAAAGGGTGTGCTAACAAGAGTATCTGGCACCTTCTCCCTCTTGTGAGGAACAAATCAGGAATGTCTGAAAAATCAGAAGTGAGAAATACCCTTGGGCATGCTTCATTCATCTTAGCAGCCTAAGATTAATTCAAACCATCAGCAGCCACACAGCCTATCAGTATATACCTAAATAGACACAATTTTGCAATACTGTCATTGGTCAGGCTAAAACAGAAATATTTGAAAATAAAAAAATATTGAATGAAATAACTTAAAACAGTATTTAGAAAACATTACGGATGTGTAATAGAAGTCTTACAATCTTTAACCAGTGTATCAATGTCTCTTTGGTCAACAGAAACTCCGAATATGATAAAATCTGAATTCAGCAAATATTGCAAACTACTGAAGTGTGGGCGTGAGCACTAAGTCTATCAGTGGAAAGTTTGTTCCTTACAAAAGCATCCCAGAGGATGGAACTACTACTGGAAGCTATTAGAGCACATTAGCATCCTGCAGATTTGCAGGGTGCAAAGCAAGGAACTTGCAGTATTAAACTACAGCCTAGGTTATGTAAGGAAAGGATATGACCCCCATGTGTGAGAGAGCACAGGATCCTGGGAACGAATTAAGCAGAGCTCTCAAACCCATGTGGCCCACTACAGCTACATCCGTGCTAGCAAAGAGACCAGGCAGCAGCCCAGACTGAGGGACAATGGTGTGAGTGGCTGCTGGCTGAACAACAAAACCCTGTCGCTCTCCTGGAGAGGGTGGGCATGTCCAAACTGCCCCCTGAGAGCGGGGGCCAGCAGGGCTCAGTCTCTACCCTCACTGCACAGATGCAGCCTGAACTGCTGCATAGGAATACCCGGAACCAGATGGCCACGCATGGGAAACTGCATTCTCTGTTTCTCATGTGCACATGTGCTCATGGTGGCTTTTCTCTGATTTATGCTTGTGGAGTCTGAAGATGGAGCTGAGAATGGTAAAAAATAAAGCAGATTACCGTATCTTATGAGTGGTTGAGGCCTGATTACCCTGCAACAAAACTGTCTCCTAGGGCCTCATTTGACCTGCCCAGATGATACCTACATCTCAGCTAGCTGTATAAGCCTCCATCTCATCTCATGGGTGAGAAAGAGACATTTCTGAGGTCCCAGTCATCTTCTCTTCAGGCAGATGTCTGAAAAAGGTAAAGGAAGTCAACCTAAGAGTAGTTATTGCTCCCCACCAACCTCACAGGGAGCCTGGGGCAACTACCCCAGTACAACGGGCTGTAGCACAGATGCTCAGAGTCAGGCAGCTCCTGTCCCCACTCTCCACACACACTTGGCTACCTCTCGCCAACACATGTATGCAATGTTATATCAGTACAAAATGCTGAACCTCACCTTCCATGACGACAAGCTGTGTAGACTGTTCCCTCTTCACTGCCAACGACAAAGTTATTGACATCTCCGGTTGGAAAAGCCATTCCTGTAACCGCCACTGGTTTGGACTTATTGTACACAAGCTCCATGCTCTCCTACCAAGACAGATTTTTGTTATTATTCTGTTTGTTATTTGTTAGTCTGGTTTGGTTTTGGTTTTTTTTTCCTAATTAATTTCTAGATGTTGCACGGGGTAGCAGGAGAGGAAGATGAAATCATTTGACCCAGTCACAGGATTTTGGTTTCTGCTTGGGATATTGTGAGAAGATGCAATGTCACTAGGATGCTCCTGCCATCCCCAACGCTATCTGTCATACATTTGAGACTGGCAGGAAGGCACTGGTCTTTCCTGCATCATTTTAAATCAGGCAGCTATGACAGGTGAGAATTTAAAATCTGATGGTGCAGAAACTGAAGGTAATACCTTAATGGTTACACTTGCTAGCCCCAGGCTCTAATAAATCATGCAATACCCTTGTATTTACAAACATTTTGGAAATCAATTGTTAGGAAGCACATGTAATATTGTGTGCATCTGAGGCATTTATTGCACTCTGTCATTTGTTGCTTTGCAGGACAAAATTAAAAAGTTGGGGTTCTGTCACTGCCACCATTCTAAGCATTACTTTTCAGGGATTTTCTGAGGTAACCAGAAACACTCCCTCTAAACTCCACCATCAAACTACAAACCAGCAGGAATGTTTTCTGTTTTCATTTGGTAGCTATATTTCAAAGTGAATCAGCATGCCCATTTTTACTATTGCAAATACAATCACCATGAACAGTTTGTGGCCATTGCAAGAAGCGAACACTTTGAGCAGACTTTGCACAACTTTTTGGGTTTTTGGCCTAAATGGTGTAACCCAAGAATCCACAAAAGGGCTGAATGATTTCACCATTTTCATTTTTAGCTATTGAAGTGGGTTTGTTTTCTATGTTTAAGGTGTCTAAGCTGCTATTCTTCTATGGCCAAAGCCTGTAGGGTTTTTCTCAGAAGGGTTTTTTTGCTGGAACTAAAGAAAGTGAGTGTCCCTGCGAGAGGAGAGCGATGCAAATCCATAGAGAAATAGTTTTGCTTGGTTTATACTTTTCTTTGAAATACATTTGATTCTATTATGAAGGAAAACATGGAAAATGGGAGAACACTACATATTTCTGTGAATATGTGAGAGAGAGAGAGAAGGAGAGAGAGAAAATTCAGTGAATATGGGAGACAGACCATATATTTTTGTGAAAATCTTCTGGGGTGAGATCATCATTTAGTGTCACTGTGGAGACACGGCTATAGACTGTGGTGGACTCTCTCCTCCCAGCGCCCACATCATGGCTGTACACAAGTGCTCTGGATCTGTGTCTTTGGAAAGTTTCAGACTGACACACATCAGCAACACTTTACTCCTCCCAATTTAAAACTGTGGCATGTAACTTGACACCAAGCGCTGTGCCTTTCTTTTCTAGATCACTGTGAGCCATGTGCCAAACTTCCGTGTAATGTGGGGTGTGTTCCCATCCTTGTTGAGAAGTTTTGAAGCAGGGAAATTCCATCTGAGTGATGAGGTACCGGAACTCAGATGTTCAAAGATCTGTGCTTCAGAATTTAGTATTCCAGTAAATGAATACATAAGGGTGGGATTTATCTTCTTGATGTTTATATGAGAAATAAGGGAAGGGATTTGGGTGCCTGAGCATAGATGTCTGGGCCATTTTAGATGCCTCCACTTCTATTGCAGAAGAGTATTGGTTTTTCATAGTCCCAGGGCACAACTACCAGACCCATACTGCTTGCTGCCTTGGGCAACATGAGCAACATGGTTGACCTTGGGAAACTGGCCTCACTTTGAGTAGGGGAGTAGATGGGATAACTTCCAGAAGCCCCTTCCACCTTAAGATTGGACAGTTCTGTATCCCAGGGTGGGTATCTGAAATGGCATTTCACACTTGGAGAGGTTAGTCATTCTCCAGAAGTACCAGCCTCTCTCTCTGTTAAATGTAAAGGAAACTTAGACTTGACATGGACTTAACTTTTGGATGGCTGAGGTTAGGATAGAGGAGTCCTACCTCTTGTGTCAACACTGAAAAGCAAATAATTTGATAGTAATTGCACATTAATGCGTGATTAATGGATGGGTAATGGAAGCAGTAAGGAGAGTTTCTATGCAGCATTTTGAAACAAGATCAGATCCCATGATGCTTACTAAAAATGATATTAATTTTCTTTCCTAAGAAATTATGCATAAAAAATGAATGATGTGTTAGAATAGAAAATGTACTACTCCAGAAGATAACACTTAAAACATGCTTTCTGTACACCTTTTTCAGCATCAGATTCTTTGTTTAATTTCCATTATTATAATCACTAGTGGTTTGGGCAATTTTCCTATGTTTCCTTTTATTTCAGGTACAGAGGAGGGGAGGAAAAGGCAATGGTAGCAAACATTCCAGAGAGAGGAGATTAGTTCTAAAACTTTTGATTTGCATTGTTTGTTCCTTTGGCTACTGAAGGCAGGCAGCAAAGCAAGCTTTCTGACTGTGTGCCTTGGAAACCTGCAGTGCCTAGGGTGTGTTCAGCAGCAGTGCAATCTAGTCCATATTTGTTAAACAATGCTGCAGAATAAGTGCAATTTATACCACAGGCGACTTCTGTAATTATCATGCTTTAAAATGGACTATTTCATTTTCACTTGAAACTGACCTATGTATTAATGTATTACAGTAATTACATGATTTGTGGTAAAGGAAATGGGTTTGGCTCTTAGCAGAGACTGCTGGAAGCAAGCTGTACTCTTTCAAGTGCATCCATTGGTTTTAGTTTGTATAGGATGTGAGGTTTTGGCTTTTAGGAGCTGTGTTCCACTACACAGGTATCCTGCTCTACGGAAGGCACTTTTTTCCCCTGTATAGATGAAAACAAACCCACCTGTGGAGTTGAGAGCATGTCCAGGCTCCAGGAGCACATTTTGCCATCTGTAGAGACGGTAATGAGATTGTGCGCATTCTGTGTCCCAACTACGTTCACACAATACACAGGATGCTGAAAACAATGACATTGACACTGGAAATCAGAGAGCCATCTCACATTTTCACAGACAAATTTCTAATGTCTCATATGTTATTTTAAAGAACGATTAAGTAGTCACACAATGCCTGGAAAATACAACTCAGCTTTTGCCAGAAAGGAATTGTTTTGCTTAGGTTTTTTTTTAATTTAAATTTTAAGAAGTATGTTATGGAGGTGGAAATGTTTTCTAAGTTTCATTTTCCTCATAATAAAACAACCCAGCTGAGTAATGCCGAATTATGTGGATGAGATTTCACCCACAGGGACTTTATCATTCTGCTGATGGCTTTTGACACTGAAAATAACCAGCAGAAGGAGGCAAATTGTCCAAACGGAATCAAAATGAAATCTTTATTCAAGAAAACAGATGCATAAAACTTGAACTCTGTCAGAATTTGGCTTGCATGATAAATATTTGCAAATGCACTCTGGCTGAAGAACATGAACCACTCCATCAGCGTTCTTCAGCATTGGCCAATACACCTTTTTGATTCTGTTATAAATGGGGAGTGACTAAATTTAGGGTGTTACACCTGGCTCAACATAACACAGTCATTCCATGGAGGCTGAATTCCACATAGTATGCATAATGAAACTTGGCCTATTCCTTTTCCAAGGAACCTGGTAACATTTTGAGCCTAATGTCGTCTGATGGTAACATATGAGGGATGGGTCAAGTTCAGCAAAGTCCAGAGCGAAAAATCAGTCAGTCTGAACAACAAGATTTAATTTCCTTTGACCTGTACAAGTGATACTGCTGAATTAAGGGTTAAACATATACAAAAGTCAAGCAAAGAAAAATTTAATTTCTCTGCTGCTTTTGCCAATAAATAGAAGACCTGCGTTTCCAGAAAGAAAAAACGCTTTTCTCTAATACTTCCCTTATTTAAAGAAAATTAGGACCAACTTACAAGAGATCCCTATGGAGCTTCTAAGCCAACTCCATGCAGAGCTAGAAATGTAGCATTTGCTCCTGCTGAAAGGAATGGCAGAACTACCACTTACGTCAGACTACTTCAAGATCCAGCTGCAGGTCACTTACCCAGTCAGTGGGAAAAGGCATAAATCTTCAGAGCTCTGACTAGGTCTCAGGTTTGATACCTGAGTGCCCAATAAATGTCCTCTCTCTAAGTGCAAAAAGAGCAGCACCTGTGTGAACATTGTTTGTGCACACACTGAGAGGGACCAAGCAATTACTGCTGCAATGGTACCTTGTGCTTGGAGGTCACCTGTACACACCAGTAAGTCACAAGGTCCATTCTGATGCTGATTTTTTTCTTTCTCTCAAGATTGTCAGGCACCTGATTTCTCCCAGATCATCAAATGGACCCCAATTGGTCCCTCACACGTGCTTCACACTATTACCCTCATATGATGGACCTTTTTGCTGCTTAGAGTTAAGGTAATGACCCCAGTGCTAAACATGATTGCTACATACTGATGTGTGAAATAAGCATAGGCCTATTTTTTTCATGGGCATTTGAACTCCAGTAGTCCAAACAGGCAGTGACAGAGTGGGTGGGAGGAAGCCAAAGCAAGCAGTGAACTATCTAGGATATTTAGCAGGGAGGAAGACAGTAAGCTATGTCTTTCCAGCAGCACCTCAGTGTGTCATGTCTGGCTTTAATCAGGGCTACCAGCCATCAATTTCATGCACAATAAAACTCATGGCAGAAATGAAAAGATGTAAGGAAAGCAGATGAATAAGACAATCAACTGTATGCAACAGAAAGTCTAAACAGGCTCCTTCCTTTCAAAGGGTCGCTGCCAGCTTGCTTTTATTTATTTTGGAAATGAAATCATCATGCAAAAGGGTTTTGTCTTAATTAAAATTTCCTGTTGTTCCAAGTGCAGATGTGTGGTGGGTGTGAAAGGAAATTAGTGAGTAAGCTGCGGGTAGAATCCTCTTTCCTGGTGAATCCAGGCAGTAATCAGTGATACTAAATTTCAGGAAGGTTTAAATCAGTGAAAACAACACGATTGTTTCAAATAAACAAAGCAAGAGAAAGAAAAGAGAAACCCCCTTTTTTCTTGTACGGCATGAGTTCAAATTAAAAATGACTATTCAACTCACATATAGCAGTACATAAAGTAAGATCATTACGGTAGAGTTGTCTTAATTTAATTCTTTTTTTTTTCTTGGCAGCTAGGATTCAAGCCAGCCTTTTGCAACCAAGACCTCATTTGCAGTTTATGTAAGTAATTCCTATCTATAAACATAAAGTAAGCACTCTTTTATTGTAAAATCTGATCACTCCTGAAAAACATCATGCTTCCTCATGTTAAGACTGTTTAAACACTTATTTATACCAATCCATGACAGCACATAAAGTGCCCATCCACAACCAAAAGTAATTTATTTATATTTGTCAAAAGCAAAACAGCATATATTGTCCTATTGCAATAATAAAACTACTTTAATATATAATTCCAGGAGGTACAATTTTGCCTTAAGCGATTTTTGAGTGTAAACAAATTACTTCCCATTAATCTTTGCTTTTCCACTAGATTTTGAGTCCCAGTTGTTCAATTTTCAGTGATAGTCAGCTTCTTGCTACTGGTTTTCTGGTCTGCTACATCTCTAAATTGCACTTCCAGGAGAGACTGTTTCTTTTCATGCAGATTGAACAACATTACTGGCGACAAAATGAGCAAAACATTAGGGAAATGAAAAGCAATGTTGAAGTTGCAACCCATGGCACAGATCATTAGATAATTACATCAACATTCATGATAGTGGAAATTTAGAGAACAATATTTGTAATGCCTGGCCCACTAAGTGTGTCTGTGCACACCTGTCATTTTGTAATATAAGAGACTGGCCATCATAATACTGGCCCCACACTGAATCTTTTGCATCAATTTACGTGGCATGGCTTCTAGAGCTGTCTTTTAACTCCAGGGATTATGTTGTCACAGTCAACAAAAAGCTGAACTTTGATCTGCAACTACCGAAGATTAGAATCACAGAATTGTGAAAGCTGGAGGTGCAAAAGTACCATCATGTTGTCCGATCCTTCATTCTGCTAGAACAAGATTATTATCTCTTAGAGTGCTTTCTGTAGTTCAGTTCCTTATGTTTCTGAAAATCTGCATTTTTCTGCACTCTTATATGATACTTTGTATTTTTCTCCTCCTTTCCACTTTCCACTAAGAAATTGCCCTAAGCCCACTTCCAAGATGAGCTACTCCACTTTCCAGCTCTTCTGAAGAGTCTGCCTAAGCCTAAACTCTGGAGGACAACTCAAGAATGCACAACATCTTTGTGCAGAATTGACTGAAGGTCAGCACAGTAGCAGAGTGAGGACACTTTGGCAGGCAATTCAGGCTTGTCTCTTCCTCCAGCACAATAGTCTCCTACCACAGACATCATCCTTGTATCACAGAGAAACTCTTCCTTTTCAGGCATTTTTTGTTACTACTCTGCCTGTATGTCTCCCAGATATCATTAGAGCCCATCTCCGCCATCACTATCCGCAGGTACCAGTGTGTGTCAGCAAAATGCTCTCCCACATCATTCTATGGAAACAAACTCCCCCCCAGTGCACAAGCTCTGCCCTATGGCCCTGTCTGGAGTAGGAGACCATGGCAAGCATTTATGTATTCCTCTATTAGAAAACAGAAGCAAACTGCCACACTCTTTTAAAGGGTACAGTGTGACTTACAGGACTCCGCTGAGATCACTGTAGGTGCCTAATCTGGTTCAAAGGAGAAACTTGTGTACACCAAGACAGCAATAAATGATTCAAATTGCCTGCCATGCTGGACTGACAGACACGCTGTCTCTATAATGACTTGTCTTTACAGGCAACGGAGAGCAAGAGTTACAGTGCCACTGAGCTGGCACAAAGGTGCCTCACCCAAGTGTTGTACTCAATCCTGCTTTTTCCCCGGAAAGGAGAATAATCTCCTGACTTGACTGTATGAAGTGTGATGGTTAAGCACTTACAGGAGGTGGTTGTACATCTCTCTTACCTATTTCTTTCAAGGGCCACACTTACATTTTCATCTGTGTGGCAACCAGCATTGTAGACACAACTATGCAGTTCCATTTCCTTGCTGACCATTTCCTCTAAGGAAAGAAGGAAGTGATTTTTGTCCTTACCGTGTGAGCAGCAGCAGATAAGGGAGTTCTCTGAACTGGAGTGCGCCTGTGACTGCGATTATCCCACAAGACAATTTGGCCAGAATATGTTCCACCGACGACAAGGTTTGGGTGAAAGCGGGCAAAACAGACTGACATCACAGAGGACTGGAGTAAAAGAGGTAGAGAAGAGAGGGATTACAGGATCAGTTATCTTCAATGCTCTCCTTAGGGAATCATATGGTAATTAGTATTTTGTGTTTTAGGAATCACTGTATGAACTCTATTCATACTCCTTGCACACCAGTAATTCTACTAAAGCCAACAGAACACATGCAAAGAGCTGACTTTGACCCTAAAATGTGTTATTCAACTGGTCCTCAGGAAAATATACACTAAAGGGTGAGTCTAAGCATGGTGCTAAAAACCTGAAATAACCTCTCCATGACAGTGATGGGAAAGTGCTTAATTTCATTTACAAAAATGAGAACTTCAAGTAACCAGATACCAGCTGGACAGAGGTTGACATCCTCGCCCATGATATCCCATCAGGGAGAGCTCTTCCCCTATTGCTCCTCTACCTCTGAGCTCTCAGGTAATGAGATGAGACTGTGAGAGACCTTCCACAGTGCACCTCAAGGTGTACTGTCCTGAGAGCATCAGCTGACAAGCTGCATCTCATTGTCGGATCCATGACTGATTTCTCTGCTGCCGAGGTGCTCTTGTAATAGCAAAGGGAACCACACTTTCCTCTATACCGTCCAAACAGAACTCAGTTTTTCCTCATCTTAATGACATCTGAGTTGTCTTCGTACATTTTCTTTAGCTGGGGATGCTGAGAAACCAGACTGGTATAATGGTTACCCTGGCTACCTGGTAGAGTGCCCCACAAGCCAGTATGAAGATTGGTATCTATCCCAACTACTGCTTTTCAGTGTCTTTAAAATAACATACAATAGCTGAAGTCTTCAAGGGAACAATCCTCAGAACCTTCATGTGCCAACAAGCTACAGCTGAGAGCAACAAGCTGTAACTCCTTCAAGTCTTCCATTCTCTTCCTAAGGAATTATTTCCCATTTTTATATAATTGGTACTGGATACTATGTCTTTGTTCTATGCAAATTGGAAAACAAATGTTACAGCATTCATACAATTTCCTGAGAATTCACATACTAATAAAGAGAGTTTGCAAACAAAAGCAAATGTTATTTTTTAAATAGCAGTTTTAGTGATGTTTACTAGCTGCAGAGGAAGGCTTGAACTGCTGTGGCAATTACAGTCAGAAAGTTAAATTCACTGTTAATTTTTGCATTCTTAAAAATTCATTTTCTGACTGTTTCCAATGAGTTTTGCTAACAAATTTTTTTTTATATTTTAATGACTGAATATTTTGAAGTGTTGGTGTTCCTATGTGGGAACACACTTTACTCAATGACAACGGGTTAACTAAATTACCAGATTTCAGTTGCATAAAAAGCATGGCAGACATTTAAGTAAACTTTGTTGAATCAGGAACATCAGAGTTGCCAAACTGAACTAGACCCAATGTCTACCTAGGTAATGGCCCTGGCCTTCTGGCAGAAGTGGATGGAGTTGTGAAAACCTTGACATGGGCAGATGTTGTCTCCTTTCCTTACTGCTCCTCATTCTGATATCTAGTGGCTAGAGACTGATTTGAACTTACCAGAGACTTGAAATCCCTTCTGATAGGGCTAGAATTAATTATGCTAATTCCTGATGTCTATAACATGACATTCAAACTATGAAGTTTGAATACTTTTTACTGGCTGCCTGATATCTATTGTTTAAAGCCAGATTAAATGCTAAATTAACTTAATAGACATATTTATAGCACACAGCAGTATATTTAGTACTGTTTTTTTGACCTAGTAAGATCATCAAGACAATGAAAAAAGCTGCAATTGCCTTTTTGATTCTCCACTCTCTCTAGATTCTTGTGGCCCTTCACTTGACACCTACGATACCTTTGCTTGTTGACTAAAGCTTTTTCATATATTTCTGTGATGTTAGTCTAGCATCTAATGATTAGATGATTAGTGTACAAAAATGCCTACTTTAGTCCATATCTATCTAAGCACTTGAACATAGTAATTACACTATGGTCACTCTCAGCAACAAGAGCTAGCTTCCAAACACCATTTCCGAAGGACTTAACTTTATAGAAAAGAAAACCCACTTGTAAGGAACAAGACGTGGGTACTGCTAAGAGCAGTTTAAAACTCAGCTACACTGCAGCTGCCATCCAGTTCCACAGATGCCCCCACATTATAATTAAAACGGCCTTACAGCACATGTTCTACATTTTATGTCTTTGTTTAATGGCTTCGTGAGTTGTTTTAATCAACCCCTATCATTCCTTATAACTAAGCTGACAGATATTCTTACATGAAGTGAAATAGCCAGATGATTTTAAAATAGTACAGCTCCACCACTGTGTACACCCCACAGCAGCTACAAGGCTCCACATGTATTTTAAGAAACCCCAATTCAAACAGTCATTCCACAACAAAGTTCTCAGTTTGTCCCAAACAAACCTGGGAGACTCTGAAGCAGGGCAAAGAAGCCAAGTGGACAGTGTATTTTTAAACATTCTGTTTTCATGGTTAGCATGTTTTTGAATTCAGAATGCCAGAATACAGTTGAATGGTCAGGATATAAACTGCTAAAGGGTGTTTTTCATAAAGTTCAAAAATAACCTACAGACGTGACACAGAGTTAAGCGCTCTGCGCTGCTTCTAGTTTTACATATTGCTCCAAAGTAGCTTGCAGTCTTCAAATGTGAAATGTTCACATCCTTTTAATTATTTCAGTATTATTTTTCTATCAAAGAAAAACTTCTGTCAAATATTAGAATTTAACAATTTAAGGACTCCACTCAATACCACTTAGTATAGTGATTATTTTCTTAAAATTAATGGCAGTTCTCAGATGAGTAAGGGCTGTAAGATCAAGCCCATTCATTTAACAACTTTAAAAGCATTCATTTCTTAGCCATAATGGGAGAGAGCAGCAGACAGGTCTCCAGTCTGTCTGAACAGCTCTGTGCTCAAGGAGAGCTGCAGAAACCATTCCCCATAAGCTTCTTCTGCCTCCAGGCTGCTTCTTCTTTGCCCATTCAAGTAGTCTTGCTTCTCTAAAAGAGAGTTTTGCCACTGACTTCAAAGGGGGAGGATCCAGCACATGGTGAGGTTTTTAAAATAACAGCATATCCCTTGTTGCACTTCTGCCACACCTTTCTAGGGAAATCTCACAGTGCTTTCCAATAACAATGGTAAAGCTTCACAGTTTTTCAGTTAGGGATATTTTATGCACTATTGGTGCTTAGTTACCTTTGTAGAGGGCAGAAGCAGCTAGTTCCATAGTATATGGCAACAGCACATAAATAATTGTAAGAGCAATGATGTCAGAAGGCAATTCCATGGGGAGTTTAGTGTCCACAGTATAAAAGCAGCATTTAGAATAGGAGATTCCCAGCATTATCTTTTTATGGGTGCCACAGAGCATCTGTATCTTTCAGCTGGTGGGACACACAAGAAATGGACACACCCCAGTGTCTGGTCATCTGCATTTCTCTGAATTGCGCTGTGCAGTGAATAATTTCATTATTTACCTTAGCTTAATGCTCAGGTATTTTCTCCCTCTATGCAAATACAGCCTACTGGATTTTGCTTTCTCAGTGGCCTTACTAAAGGCTTCTTCTGGTACTTCTGGCTTTGCGATCTTCCACCCAGATGTTCTACTTCTAGTGGAGCCACCACACTAGTGCTGCTGCCTCATCCCCTGTGCATGCTCTGCCCCTCTGTGGAGACGAGCAGTTCTCCAAGGGCCGGGGAGCCAGCCTGAGTTAGTTCCAGGTGGGAGCACTGCCCAGGGCATAAGGGAAGAGTTCAGACTGATAAACCTGGGGGTTTTGCCTGGAAAACAGGCAATCCTTCTTCCTGAATGATAAAATTTCTGCTCCCAGTTGCTACAAGAACCTCACTGAACACATAATTAAGACACAAACCATGAAATGTCTGTGCTCTTGTCACAGCAAAGAGAGGGCTGGCATCAGAAACAGAAACGTTACCTAGCCCCTGGAGAGGTCTGCAGTCAGGGGGACGAAGGAAGCACCCCTGGTCCCCTGTCTTGTTGGGGTCAGGTTGTCTCAGCCTGTGGGGAGCAGCACTTTGGAACCGCCTCTGCCTCCCCCCTCCTTCTCTCCTCCCTCCCCACTGATGCACTGATCCAAACAGGCCCTGAGCCCTCTTCAAGCGGCTGGCAAAGCTGGTTTTTATTTTAGAAGCTTAATATGGCCCAGATTTGGATTAATAGCGGCGTATCCCTTCAACCACAGGTACACGTGCTCGGAACAGACAGTCATTTAGCTTCTCCTGACTGAGAAGCCTAACCTCAGTACCCACATCTGATGTGTATAGAGCCCTGGAGACTGAGCTGTCTCTGCTCATGTCCATACGTTAGGATGGCACTCTGCCCAGCCACCAGTCGAACAAGTTCACAAAGACCTGGGTGCTAAACAATAATGACTCTCAATAGGCTTCTGCCTTCAGCCAGACCTCTTCTGCAGGAAACCGCTCCCAGAGCCAGAGCTGCCATACTGGTGCCATATGCCTACGCTTGACACCAGATGGATCTCAAAACAATACTTTGTCAGTGGGAAGAAGCAATTTGAGGAGTTCACAGGCATTTCTAGGCTCCAGAACACCAGGTTATATTGCAGCAGGCACTCAGGAGACTCCTGGGTGTATTTTCTGGCTGAGCAAATGCATGTGAAAAAGCACTGCTGTCAGTGATATGCTGCTCTGGGTCAGTCTGACACAAACAACAGTGGACAACAAAATCAATGCAGCTGAGATGAAGGGACAGATCCTTTTCCACGCTTGAGGGAATTGGGTTAGAGGGACTGAGAGCAGAGGGACAAAGCTGTGGTACTGCTGCTTAGCTATAACCATGAAAAGGTGCCAAAGTCGTAGTCCTTCATCTGTAGGAACCGAAGAACAGTGACTGGACCTCTGATGCCTGCCCTTCTAAGGAATAAATAAATAAAGGGAAAGGCCAAAAGTACACATGCAATTTACTTATAAACTTTTGTTCTCACTCCTGCTCATCAAAAGCAGTATTTAAAGAGTCTAAGTACTCACAGTCCC